TTTAGGTTAAGTGAACTTTAAAGAAAAGAAGGCTGGAGTGAGTGACTGGCTGACTGACCGAGTGACTTATTTCCGTTTTAAATCTTTAACCATACATGATGTACTTTACTGTTTTAAACTAAAACAAAAAGTGAAAAGAATGAGAAAGAAAACCGTTGAATTGTTAATTACATTTACCGAAAACGTCACTCCTCTACAAGCAAATTCCACAAAACGTAACTTCGAGAACAATTTTATTGCCAAGCAAGAGGGTGCCGTGCGTGCAGAGCGCCTTTTGGGGGAACTAGCCCAGCGAGTAAGGTACTCCTTGTCGTAAAACAACCAAAACAAGTTCAATTGCAAGATATATTTAATATCTTCCTTTCGTTTTCTGACCTTTTTCCCTTCTTCTCTGGATTACACTACTCAGAAAGTTCCTCTCTGTTTTTCACATACAGTATGCCTCCTTTTCAAAATCCTCTTCTCAAAATTCGACTACAATTGCTGATGATATGTATTTTCGAACGCTTAATTATAATGAGGGGTGGCGAATGGTAAATGCGAGACTTTGCGAGAAGCCGAGACTAGCCTTTTTTTTCTTTTTTTTTTTCTTTTTTCTTTTCGTTTGCGAGCCCAAGACATTTTGACTTCCTCAATTGCGAGACTGAGGTTTCAAAGTGTTTTAAATGCGAGCTCGAGACGTTTAGGTTCTACGACGTCATTTAAGCTTATACAGAAATATTAAAAGAAAATCGAGACTTCCTACGCCTTGTAAAAAATCGAGACTGCGAGACACACTTGACCACTAAAAAACGAGACTGCGACACCCGTGAAATTCGGCAAAAATTTTGCGAGACCCATGGCTTTTGAAGGACCATTCGCCACTCCAACAATGAGTATCTTTCCGTAACAACTAAAAGTTCAAAAAAATGTTATTATAATTTTATCACGCTATTTCTGTTGCTAACCATATTTTAAAACTTATGTTAAACTTATACCTAAAATCATTCAATACAACTTTCACTGGTAATAATAACAGTAAATGTTACTAGAAGCTATTTACCGGTGAGAAATCTAAGTTTAATCAAATAAACACATAGTTAAATCACGACGTAATTCTCAACTGTTCTATGATACTGTAAACAAGAGGCAGCGCTCAAATTGAGATAAATATCCTGAACTAAAGATGGATTATATCTAAAGGATACATCAGAAGTTCAAGTACGTAATGCGTTTACTGGAAGTTGAAAAATCAACTAAAAGCATATTCGTAGGTCTCAGAAGCGAGCCAGGATGTCCCAAAATGGAGGAGAAAAAATGGCTCAGTTCCATTATCAGTAATTACAGATCAAGTGGAAAGTCACGAAATTTCATAAACACTTTTCTCTAAAATCCAAAACTTATCAAAAGTAACTCAAGCTAGAGGCAAGCAAAATACTCAAATGTCCACAAATGGGCGCTGCCTATGCCTCAGTCGGGTAGCTACAGAATTATTGTTTTCATTGTAAGTATTACAGTTATCTTACTTGCACTTGTTCACAACTGAATTTAAAAAGTCTATCCTTATGTGGTAATCCGTCAAAAGATAGAAACTATTGTTTTTTTAACACAATTTAACCATACAGATAGTCTCTAACAAATCCCGGACAACCGCCTTGAACCAAAAAAAGTCCCACTAGCTAGTACTCTATGACGAGAATACTCCATAAGACCTGGCTTCGACAAGAAGGTTATATCGTCCTTACAGCTTTTGTCTTTTCCACAACTAAGTTTAAGGAGTCTATCCTTCTGATGCAGTGCCGCAAAAAAAGGAAACTATTTTCGTTCCACATGCAATTTAACTCTAGTGCAAGTCTCTAAATAACCCCGAAATAAATCTTTGCATCGAAAGTATCAATACTAATTCCAAATAAATGCCTTTTTAAACAGCAAAAACAAACAAACAAACAAACAAAAACAAAAACAAAAGGGAAAATCACTTTTCTTTTTCTCCTCGTTGTTGTCTTATTGTCGTTTGTTGCCTGGCAGTCCAGAATGAGCTACGGCATGCTCATAGAGCTTAACCTTTTTGTAATCTTTGTCATGGCTCAAAATTTCGATGCAGTGATCTACAAAGTGATAGCCTGGCAACTTGACACCCTTCTCCTTAGCTCTGTAAAGGAAGAAACGAACTCGGATCAGTCTTTCGGTTGGGGGCATAAGCGTATGGCAAATACAGTTGTACTATTTCGCTTATAAAAACACCGAGCTCGGATCTTCACCTGCTTCCGAAACGTCACTAACTTGAAAAAAGACTATTTCTCTCTTTCCTACATGTAGTTAAGGTTATGTCCTGGGTGTATTTTTGTTTTTTGTGTGTTTTTTGTTTTTGTTTTTTAGCTTTGTGATCCAGCTATTTTCGGAGTCGTCTTCAACCCCAATCCCCACAAGGGACATCCATAATCAAGTACTCGGAGCTTAGGTCTGATTCTATTCTTACATTGTCGACTAAGAATTGTCTAGATCCTGAAGAAGACTTACTTGTAAGTAGTTCTGAAGTCACATCGGTAATGGACATCTCCTTTAAGCAACAGAGCCATGGTAATGTCACCCGTCAACACTCCATCACGCACATATATTTTCTCAGTGGATGGTTCCCATTTCAGCGTCCTCTTCTGCATAACTGGACCATTGGGGGGAAAGTTTACACCATCAAATCGAACTGTATTATAGAAAGTGTCGCCTTTCATTCTGATAAAAGAGAAGTGAGACATACTCAGCGTGACCAAGCAAAGATACGAGAAGAGGTTTTAATTAAAGGCATGGTTAGGAATATAATTTAATAGACACTCGTACAATAAGATATAAGAGCCCCAGCACAAGAGGTAGTGATACCAGAAGCAATTTCGGTTACTTTCTTCCTTATGGATATAAAAATAAAGAGCCACTTCAGAAAAGAGATTTAAAATATTTCATAATGACATTTTCCAGCATTATCGAAACAACAAGGCGATAAGACATTACTGATGATGTGTTTGGAAATAAACAAATTTTATCAATCTGGAACACATGCAATGCTACGTGTTTCCGCGCATGAAGCGTCCACTTTACTTACGTTATGTCGTTTCTGGCGATGCAAATGCCCCCGTCTTCGAATGTCAGGCTTCGTTCCCAGGAATACCCTCCAGGAAACGACTGCTTGAAATAGTCTGGTATATGGTCTGGGTATTCGGCGAATACCCTGTTGCCATAATGGAATGCCGTTGTCAGGATATCGTAGGCAAAAGGCAGAGGTCCGCCGTCTATGACCGTCAGGTCCATAGTCTGCTTTCCCCTTAAATTAAAACACAAACAAGAAACTAAAGACGTAGGAAAACGTACTGTTCACATGCAATGCAGAACTAGGCGGTTCTGAGAAAGAAGGCAGTTAAACTAGGGAATATTTGCTTTCGACATTGACAGTCTGACCTCAGACACTCAGAACGCCATGCCATGATTGTTCTCTTCTTGGTAAATATTTGGTGGCTTTCTTTTACACCCGCCAACATTATCAACCTTTAACTGAGTTAATAGGTTGCTCGCTCTTTTAAACAGTCCGGGATCGTTATCAGATTTGATAACCATGTGACGTCACAACATGGCGGCCATTTCAAAAACCGAGAATTTCCGTATTCACTTCGCTTTGC